TATATATATATATATATATATATATATATATATATATATATATACACACACATACATACATACATATATATATAGCATCTGTGCCACCAGATATCAGAAATAGAAGTGAAAATCAAAAGAAGAGATCCAACAAGCCAATTTTATCCACTAACCTAATAACACTTTATGCTAATACATTTCTAGTTTCTCCATTTTTACTCTTAAGAGAATTTCAATGTGCAAACCTGGGTAGGAAATGATTACTAAAAGACAGAAAGATAAATAAGCCCTTTTCAATACTCAATAAGAAAAAAGCTAGTTTTAAAATGCCATCTATCAACTGCCAGGAATCAGTTGAACCTGGACATGCAAACAAATATTAAAGTAAGTTTTTCTACCATATTTCTACCAATATAGGGCAGTATTTACCGTGCAGTAAATATGGCAGTATTCAAATATATTTTGCTAGTTTCAGAGCATCTTCCTCATGTCATTGTAGATGCCGAAGCTCTTAAATCCTTTAACAGTATAGCTATACTATGACAAGAGAGGCCACAGGAACATTAAACAACTCCAACTCATAAGATGTATATGTCGATCAGCTTTTTGTAGCCATCTCATGAAGCTCCCCAGTGGCTTTTCTGCAGTTAATTGTGTTGCCCAAACTTACAGCAGCCGCCATTTTTAACTAGAAATTTAAACTAACGAAAAACCATGTCTCAAATAAAGGGGAATATTAACTAGGCATGACATTTATTCTGGGTTCATAACGAAGACATAAGCATTGAAAAATTGTCAATCTTGGCTACTGGATCACATGGCTCATGCATGTAGCTGTGGGAACATAGTGTGTTTGTTTTCCCACATATCTGAAACTGATTTGCTTTTTTCTTTATATTTAATACATAATCAGTGTGTAAATTCCAAGCCAGTTCTGCCAAGATGACTCAGATGTCTATTTCTCCTTCCTTTGTCATATTTAAACTTCATGCATCACTTACTCAGTCACTCTGCCTTTCCAACTATATCCTATCCCTGCTTTTCGACCCGCAAAAACCTATCTTAGAGGGAAAAGAGATATTGCAGCCAGTAAGCTTATGATACACTTGGAGGAACATTACCATACCCCCTGCCCTGCCTCAAAGAAGCAGCAGCAGCCTCTGTGCCAGCTCAGAGGCAGGTCGGGTGTTTGTAGGCTGCTTCTTTGGCACACACACACACAAAAAGAGAGCTCCGGGGGCAATAAATTATAATAGACGACTAAATCTGCTTTGCTAGCCATTTATCAAAACTTGCCTTTGTCCCAATTATTAGGGAGAATGACTGAGAGACGTTTCCCGCCTGACTGATCTGGTGGGAGACACAAAGCCTGGGGAATCCACCCTTCCTTGCCTTCTAACACGTCCTGCACACCCTACATACGGCCAGCGCGCTTCCCGCCGTCGCATCGGTGGCATAAGGATCACCCAGCGGGGGCGGCAAATTTGACGCCATGCCCGCTTTCTGGTTTAAAGACCCAGATTGTCGTGGGGTCAATAGGCTGACTCTGTAAACCGCTCAGAGGCGGCTGTAAAGCGCTGAGAAGCGGTATATAAGTCTCAGTGCAATTGCTATTACTATTAAAGAGTAGGGGAAAAGCACTTGAAGCGAGCTTAAAAGCGCACTGCCTCTCCGGAGTTTTCAACTCGTTTCCGGGGTTACTTTTCCACACCCCACCCGGCTCTCAACCTCAGGAAAAACAAGGGTTTAGAGGGGCTCTGGACTCCGGACATTTTCCCCTGCCGGACAGGCTGCAATGATAAACCGAAGAGGGACAGGAAACAGCAACGCTGAGGGGCGAAGGGCAAGTGACTTCCCTCGCTTCTCCGCCAGCAGCAGCCTATCCCGCGAACAAACTTCAAGGCGGGGGTGAAAGCTGCCGCCGCATCCGCTTCCCTTCTCGGACGGGAGGGCGGGGGGGGGGAGGAGAAGGCAAGGGGACCGAGCAGGACTAGCGGTAGGAAAGCCGCTCTCGTGCAGCGATCGCCGCCGCCGCCGCCTTTTCCTTTCCCGCCCCGAAGAGGGAAAGAGGCGGCGACAGTAGTTGCTCTTGCTCGGGCAATCCCCGCAACTCAACAACTCACTTACCCCAGGCGCAGCACGAAAGGAGGAAAAAAACTGCCGAGCAGGAGGGAGTCCCGAGCCAACCGCGCTCCTCCCCGCGTTGCATTTCGGCGGTAGCAACAGCGTCTCTTTCCTCTCGAGTTCGCTGCTCCGGGGGGGAACGGGAAGCGCTAAGCCTGCGCTGGCCTCCGCGTCTTGCTGCAGCGGGAGCCGATTTCCAGCGGCTTCGGGATGGTCTCGGTGCAGGGCAGCTCTGTGGAAAGAAAATCAAGAGAGCCGTGTTGGAGGTGGCGGCGCCACCTAGTGAGAGAAATGGCCACTCGCTGATCGGCGCTGAGAAGAGGGGCGGGGAGCGTGGGGGGAGGTCGACCCCAATCTTCGGGGCTAGCTTTTCACACGGTTTCCAAACCCGTCTTCCTTCACCGGCGGGGCTTCCTGGTATCTAACCCTCTCCTCGCCGTTCGGTTTTTGGCCGTTTCAAGCGCTGGAATCCTTAGCAGAACAGATAGACTGCACTGTACTGCTTGCATTAAGAGTGTAAGGGAGCAACATTCCCCCCCCCCAATTCAGCCGTGCCTCTAGTTCAACTCAATATACAAGGTGAGGTTGAGTATTGTGATATATACATCACAGGGATGTAGCTTTCCTTTGGTCTTCTTGGCAATGCACTTTTTCTTTTCTGAACTAGGGTCCCTGAAGTCCACAGATTGATTTTAATGCATAAAGCAAAAGAGCTGACACAGCACCTCTTAGCGGTTAGAGCCTTACCTGTATCAAGCAACCTTTGAAATAATCTAACTAAGCCACAGGTAAATTGGTGATCTCTCTGCTGTCCTGCACTGCTGCAGTCTGGATTTTTGGTTGAGGCTGAAACAACTGTGCCTACAAAACAACAGAATTTCACTACTGGATGATTTTAATGTCCAGTAACTCACTTCTCACCATCCTACTGCTGTGAGTGAAATCAGTACCAAAAGGGCTCTAAATTCAGCAGAATAGGTGGCTTGGCAGATTGCCTCTATGAAAAGTCACCATGTGCGAGTTGGGCAGCTGTATACATGTGTTTAATAAATAAATAAAAACACCTGACTTTTTTCTTCTTTTTACATCGCTACTTTTGATGAGAAAATAACAGAGGAAGAATGAGGGATTCCGGGCTGGTCATCAGATAAACATTAACCGATTGAGCCATCTTTGTACTTACCTATTGGCTAGGGAGACCACATTATGCTTCCCTGTCAGCTTTTTGCAAGCACTATGGCTTCACAAAGCAGTTAACCTGTCAGTTACGGTTGTATCCTGGCAGGTATATAGAGTGTGACCATCACTCACCCACAGATTCTGCTTTGTTTTCAGTGTTAGAACAGAAGATTTGGGCAAATGGGATGATAAGTCTGGACGTGTGCAGAATACGCAAGAGAGTAACAGGAATTTCAGGCTGGAAAGCTAATATATGACTAATGTGTAAGCCTAACTATATGAGTGTTTGATATGATTAAGTAGTATTGTAAGAAAACATTTCAATATAGATAGTTCTCAACAGCAACTGAGACTAAAATTTCCATCATAAATCAAGGAGGTCATAAAGCAAGTAATCAGATGACCAGGCCCAATTTTTTACTACAGTCATTAAGCAAAACCACATGGACATTAAGTGAATACAGCTTCCTCAATTGACCTTTTGTCAGAAATTGGCTGAGAAGGTCGCAAATCACAATCTCATGACTGCAGAACACTACAAATGGTTGTAAATGTGAACTGGTTGCCAAGTGCCCAAATTGTGATCACATGATGTAGGTAGGTGGTGTGATGATCATAAGTATCTGGCCATTGGACATTTTTTTCTAATTAAAACGTGCTTTGTAAACTTAAAGGGAAACAAGGAGCAGGTTAAATGTTATCACTCTATAGAAGATTATTCGTGAGCTCTATTATAACATCACCAAGTGTTCAGAAAATTTAAGAGAAAACAATTATATTTAACATTATCAACTGAATTGAACCATGACACTTCAGTAAGGACATTTCAGAAAGGTTAACAAAAGTAAAGAATGCGATGCCCTTTAAAGCAACGCATTAGAAAATGCAGTAGAAATGCTGATCTATTTGAAATGAAATTAGGGCTGTAATGTATACATACACATCTGGGAGAAAAAGACAGAATACAGCAATATGCCCCTATTGCGTTCTACAAATTTAACCTAATATATAAATACGGCATTTGAAAGTATATCTCAGTGAGTTCAATTCAGTCAAATTTGTTTCAGCTCGGTTTTTTCCCCTGCCCAAAAGTGGGCAATTACTGTAGTTTTGGGCACCAATCAATTAAGTCCATTTCTTGCAGCTGTCTGGCACTTTTCTCCCTCCAAATAGGTTAGGTTTATTAATTAAAGGTTGATACGTAGCTACCTCTGCGTAATTATGTACCCATGCCATAATGATAAGATTTTGCACTACATTAATTATGTTTGTGGAATTCAAAAAGATTTTGGACATAAATTTTTAACACTAAACAAACAATAACAAAAAAGGAGCAAGGGCCCTTATTACTAAATAGATATGCCTTGTATTCTAAATTTTAGGGGGTTTAAGGCCATTTACTAAAACATTCAGGGTTTTAGTATATGATTTCTTGAAGAGACTGCATGTGATTTCTTGAGGATCAATTACATGCAGCAAAAAGATTTTTCATTGGTTTAAGATTGACTAAAATGAATTAATTTATGTACAGAAAAATTATATGATAAATATCAATACAAATAGTCTATAAGGATTTGATCAGTATAAATTTTATAAGATTAAGTAATACATTAATAGCATTTAATGCAAATTCTAATGATATGTGCATTTCTATATACATATACATATACATATACATATACATATACATATACATATACATATACATATACATATACATATACATATACATATACATATACATATACAT